GGGAAGAGATGCTACATTGAAAATGGTCACTCGAGTTTTGGCAGGGCCAGCACTGGCAGCAGCTACCCAACAGGTCTGCAAAGCCTGCCCACTCTGTGTCACAATGCCCCAGGTAAGCGGATCTTTCTCAGGAGAATCATCAGTACAGAGGAGAGGGACAGGCCGCAGAGGGCCCTGGAAACCTGACTCTGCCCGTGCACCATCATGTGGAGGGTTTTCACAGGTGCTGGTCCTCCTGACACCTGTGCTGTAGCCTCTCCCATCTGTTCGGAAAAGGCTGGCCTTAGTCAAGGTGCTTCTCAAAGACATCACCCCGGATTTGTACTACCCCAGTCCCTCCAGAGTGCCAATGGACCTCTCACATAATGTTTTACCTCTCAACTAACTCAGGGAGCGGGCAGGGCTTTAGGAATAAAGTTCCGCCTTCATTCCATTTAGCCGCCCCAATCCTCTGGAAAAAAAGAGCCAGCCAGACCCTAAAGCGAACTCTGGTGAAACTTTGCCCAGAGATGTCAGAGTCCTACTCTGATGGCTGCCAGTCATAACATTCCAAGACCTGGACTAAGTTAGAGTTCATTTGAGATGCTACATGGGAGGCCATTTCTGTCCTCTGATAGGACTCAGAGACCACGAGATTCTTACAACTTCTCTTTAATCTGGGCCAATCACAGTAAATCCCCACCTTATGAACAATTGAGTTGTGAATTTTCACAAATACAAACAGAACTCGGATTTGAACAAATCATGACGTAGCTCCTGTGTCTGCCAGACAATGCCACTGTTAGGCTGCTGTGTCCTCCCTGTATGGTGTGATAGTGCACAGTGGCTCCATCAGAGCCCACGGTGACCGCAAGCAGGAGGAAAAGCAGTGATGGTGTAAAGAAAACTGCTAGGAAGCACAAAACCATCTACGTTGTACACTTGTGCCAAAGGTGTGCAAGGCTCACTCTGCCCGATTTAGAAATCGGTCTGATTTACGAACGTTCTCCCAGATCAGAGCTTGCTCACAAGGCAGGACTCACTGTACAACAGGCTATCCAAATGTGTGGGAGCAGAGTACTGCCAGCTCCTGGCCCAGGGGATCACCTAGCGTCCGTCCTGGAGACCAAGTGCTCATAAAAACTTCAAGGCGAGGACTCCCACAGACCAGGGGAGGTCACAAGAGAAGGGCCCCTGTGTGGTGACCCCTGCCACCGCCCACTGCAGTAAAGGTGGCAGGGGCAGATGACTGGATTTATCTTTCTAAAACAAAGCCAGGAACTGTCTGAAGAACAAGATCACCCCAAAAGGGAAAGCTACTCCTGTGAGCCTTGAGCCTTGAGAAACTTGAGATTTTCTTCAAAAAGCAAAATTCCAGTACTGCATGAAAAGGCTCTTGCAAAAGCCATGACCCTCAAATTCTCACTAATTTATCTGCCATGCCTCTCTAATATACATTCTTCTCTACAGGAAGTGTGGAAATCTCACCTACTCCCCATATTTAGGTTAATAGTAAAGTTTCTTTCTGCTGTCAAACAGGCACTCGAATGTCACTAATTCTGTTCTTGCAGGGTTTTGGCTGGGTTTCCAGCCAGCAAGCCATAGCACCCAAGGTAGTTGGGGAGCCCATAATCCCCAGCAGGAAGGGGCGATAGCCCCTTCCAGCTCAAAGAAGCTGTAGAAGACAGAGAGCTCCACTCCCTGGGCACCCCGGGAAGAATCAGGGATTCGTATCTTTCAGGGGGAAATGAGGCCGGGCTGGCTAGGGAATAAGCATGACCTGAGTCCAGGGCAGATGAGCCAACTGAGTCTCAGGATCCCCCAGGCAGAAGTTCTCACAGGTTCTCCTAAGCTGTGGCTAGCATCAGAGACTCAGACAGGAGATGTCTAATTGGAGGCAGCCTATCTGGGACATGGACAAAGCCCACTGACCATTGATCTGCTTAACAGGTGATACTTACATGCAGAAGTAAAAGTTTACGGCACAATAATACAGGCAGCATACTTTGATATTTTCTGTATATTTTATTATTTTGCTTTTAAAAAATCCCGAATGTAATGCAGCAATGAGTCACAACTGTAGTTTGGAAAATGCTGGCATAGACAGCAGAAGTGACAGCACTGCTGTGGCTTTGAGTGTCTCGAGGGCACCGGTACTCTGTTACTTGTGAACATTCCAGGGTGATACATTTGAAAAAGGCTGCAGTGTCTCTCTGACGCCTACTGTGCATTCCCTGTGAATCCCGACCTAGAAACAGGGCAGTCAATGTCCCTAAGAGGGCAGCTCACACCCACGTCCCAGATTGTGTTCTTGTTTACTGCTTATTGGTTTTTTGCTATTTTCTATCATGAGAAACTTCTGTCTTATCTGAAATAAATTCTTTTACATTTTTTTATCCAACTCTCTAAAATGTGCAGGTTTAGGGACAGCATCAGACACAAGAACCCTCTACCTGTGAGCAATAAATGAATTGAAAGAAAAGGGTGTGGGAGGGTGTGAGTCTGAAGGGAGGGACACAGGAGATGTCCAAGCAGCAGAGAAAGGTGAGTCTGAGAAGGGGAGAGGTGGTTTCTCAGAAAAGATGTGACCGGAAAGGGAGTGACCTCACCTCACCCGGGGTGAGAGCCGGCATTCCTGGAAGAGGGAACAAGGAGCTCTGGCATGGTGGGGGACGCAGGCACACTGAGCTCCCGTGGGTGCTGGGCAACAAGCCTGAGCAGAAGGCTGTCTAGAAGGGCTGCTGGCCCCTGGGGAGCCTTGAGAGCCACGTGGGTGACTTCTTGCTCTTACTGGGATCCGGGAGGAGATGGTTCAGAGTTCAGGGTCTCAGTCTTGATTCTTTGTAGCAGACTGCAGCTCCTCAGTGCCTGGTACCACCGCTGGCAGAGGTTCAGGGCACATCAGACATATACCAGACAATCAGTTCGCTCGTGTAGCCCAGCACTGGACAGGCACCTGCAACTCTGTCTCGTTGGGGGTCTAATCTGCAAGGCGGGAGGGGAGTGGAGCAGAATAATTGTGGAATAATTTAGGAGAACAAATATTCTCTTTTATGAAGAATTCTTCAAAATTATTTCTTGGAACGTTGGTTCAAGTAAACTCATAATTTACAATCATTCTCATCCCACCCCTAGATTCTAAAGGTGAGGACGAGAGAAATGAAATGATGTATAAAGCAGACTCATCAAATCCCAGATTTATAGCTTTCACCAGGTGCCGATGCTTACTAACTACCTCAGGTCATGATTCTTCTTAACATCTCCTGATGAGCACGATGATCATCACAGAATAAATGAGTGTAAGAGCTGGTGAACCCTTTAAATTTATTCTGGTCTATCCCTCTCATTTGACAGCTGAAGAAAGTGGGGTCTACATAACTTTCTATGAGTTACCCCCAAATGATTTTCCATCAGATAATTAAGTCAATCAACAGCTATGACTGAGAGTGACTTATCTTTTTGGTATAAATTCCTTTAGTTTCTTAAAAATGCAAATGTATATTCTTTTAATAGAATTCACATTATGCTCCCTGTATTTTTCTATCTTGCCTTTTTTTCACTTAAGGATTCTCCCTAGATCTTTACTATTCACAAGTAGAGATGTGACACACAGAGTCCGTGTGTCCAAGTTAAGATGGCCATGCTTCACTTAGGAATATAATCTTTTGGAACCACTATGCTGTATGCCACATGTCATGGACCGAAACGTCTTTATGCTGCATATGACAGTGCTTGTGATTCACACACTCACAATATTTAATGACTGTACAATATCTCATTGTATGGATGAATCATAATTTTTGAACTATTCCCTGTTGGAATTTCAGGTGTTTGGAGGGTTGTTATTAGAAATAAAATTGTAGCCATAAATGATGGGACTTATCCCTGATTATTTCATATGTGAAGAATTACTGTTTCGATTAGACACCTGCTGAACCTGGCCAGGCAAGGAGAGTTGTACAGATTTGCCATAAACTATGTTTCGGAATTTTTGCAATCTTAGCAATTTAGGACCTAACAGATCAGTTATTCACATTAATTTGGAGTTTGAATTTACTGTAGTTTTAATAGTATGAAATACCGAGAATTATCGTGTAGCTGTTAGTTTGAGAAGCCAGGAGGTTTTCTTCTTAAGTTGTAAAGGAATCGCAAGAGCTCTGTGTGACACAGTGACAGAACGTCCCGGAGCTTCCCTTCGGGTGTCACCTTTACTGTCAGCTTATCCCCGGCCCCAGACTCAAGAGTCAAGCACCGAAGAGAGCTTGCACATTCATGTTTAATGCCTAAGGCGCCTACGTTTCTTAAGCTGTAAAATAAACAGATAACACTGCCACGCCACGCACTCCGTGTAACAACACACAGGACTCGCGCAGGTGCGCGACCTGATGGAACAGGTGCTGTTCCCACTTAGGGCACTTCATGCTCCTCACGGCAGAAGCATTAATTGTCGGCTCCGTAATGTACCCGGCATTTGCCACGGAAAGAACATTGAGTGGCCAACCGGATGCCCTTCCTCCACCTTCTCGTTCTGCTTGCTTTACTTTTGCTCAAAATGTACGCAGGCAAAAAATAACAATAGTAAAAATAATAAAAATCAGATGTTGGGGTCCACATTCTATCGTGCCATTTGAGCTGGAAATCTATGCTTCAAAGTTTTTCTTTTCTTTTTTTGTCTTTTGTTTATTTTTAATCAGGCTGCTCAAGCATGACCTCGAAGTCCTAGGAGCCTGGCTGAGGAAGCTTCAGGGCTGGGGTAGGGCACTTGCCAGGTGTGGCCAGGCCTTTCTGCAAAGCGGGGATCATTGCACCATAAAATGCAAAGTACCTGCAGCCTCCCGTGCGCCCCTGCCCCGTGCCGCGTGCCCCCATCCGGAGCTGGGAAGCGCCGGAGGATGTTTACCCTCCCCTCCCCGCTGGACTCTTCTTAGAGTTGAGCCCTACAGAGGCTGCCTCTGTCAGCGCTTCCAGGCGGCCGCGGGGCTGACCGCAGGCTTTTGCCCAGCCAGAGCCGGGCCGGGACGAGGCGCGAGCAGCCCAGGAACTGTGCCCCTGAGAGGCCGGCGTGCACCCTCGACCTCAGGCGGGGGCAGAGACTCCAGCTTTGGCCCGGCTGCCCTCTGAGAGCGCGCAGCCGCTGCTGCCGAGGCAGGGAGCCAGCGGAGCTGTCACCTGTCCCCAGCCGGATCTGGCAGGACAAGGGTCCGGCAGGCAGAGCGCGCGGCTGCAGCAGCCTCGGCAGGCGGCGCTGGACAGGCACCGCCGGAGACGCAGACTCCAGGCCCTCAGCACCTAGATTGTCCCCGTTTGGCCCCAGGAGCCGTCGGCTTGGGGAGCTCCAGGGTCACCTCGGGCAGACGCCAGGGCGGCAGGTCCGGGACGCCCCGCCCCCTGCTGTTCCTGGAGCCGCCAGCAGGAACTTTTCCACCGGTCTCGGCCGTGGTCACTGCTGAGGTTTTCGGACCTTTCTAGCCGGGAGCCGCGCAGACCCGCTTCTTGCAGCCCTACTGCTGGCCGGTGCCCTGCCCGGGGGAGCGCACTCCCGCCGCGCAACCGACGCCCCGACTTTTCACGCGCACTTCTCCAGGTGCGCTCGGGTGCAAGGGGCGCCCCCTACACCCCAGGCCCTTCCGGAGCCGCGTGCCCGGGCCCCGCCGCCCAGCCGAGCCTCGGAGCCAGCCAGCCCCCAGGCGCGCCATGGCCGGCCGCTGCTGCTGCCTGTCGGCCGAGGAGAAAGAAGCGCAACGCATCAGCGCCGAGATCGAGCGGCAGCTGCGCCGGGACAAGAAGGACGCGCGCAGGGAGCTCAAGCTGCTGCTGCTGGGTGAGTGGCTGAGTCTCCCGGACCCCGAGCTCGGGGCGCCCCTGCTCGAGGGGGAGGACGCGCCGCCGACGGTGGTGCGCGCCCAGCGGCCGCCTCCTTATCCTGAGCGCCTTTGCTGGGGCCACTGCCGTCCTGGCCCCACAGGACCCGGGCTTCACCCCGCCCACGTTCTGCCCGTCCGCAGCGGTGCCCGGCGCCCCGCTGCCTCTGCCTTCTCCCCCGTGCAGCTCCTGCTGACCCACGACTGGGGCGAAATGGGCAGCTGCGCGCCCACCGCGCAGGCTCCGATGCCGCTCTGCCTGGGGTCGAAGCCGGGTCCAGTGCCCAGCCATGTGTCTTGCGGCGCTGACTGATTAGGGGCATCAGCTGGTGCTGCGCGCGGACCCTCTCCCCACTTTAGAGAATTAAAAGTGCAGGCTCAGGAAATGTCCCAAGTGAGAAAAGCTGGGGCTCAGACACCAGGCTAGGCAAGGGGGCGAGGCCCGTGACCTCTGCCGCCCTGACTCCGGTGACTTCCTCCCCTGACTTCTCAGGGCTCCGCCAGCGAGGGGTGTGCTGCGGGCCAAATCGCCTTGGCCCTGTTTGGACTCGGGCTCGTAGGCTGCAGCAGGGTCCACTAGGTCTTCATCAGGCTTTTTTGGTGTCTGCAAAGGTCTTTCAGAAATAGGAGTGAAAGTACCTCCTGTATGCTGGTAGTGGGTCCATTAACTGCTCGAGGAATATTTCTTTTTTCACATTGGCACATCAGCTGTAGACTGGCTTTCCCACCACATAGGCGCAAGTAATTCAGCTCCCTTCTTTCAGCCACCCCAGGCAGAAATTCTGTCTTCGACTGTCTTCCTGTGTATGAATCTTTAGTACAAATAGTCACCCTCCCAGAAACTTCAAGGACAGATAACTAGACCTAGTTAGCATAAGGCAGAGAAGGCTTTTAGTCAGGACAGCCCTTAGGCCCTGGCAAGGGAGCCTCTTTGTATTTACTTGTCCCTGGATTTAGAGACCTGCTCTGGTTCCCCCCTGGCTTTATCTTCCCCTGGGGACAAGAAATCTCCATCTACAAGGAAAGGGCCATTGAGAGTCCATGCTCCCCCAAAGACCCAGATGAAATTCCCTGTTCAAGGGGGCCCATGCTTGCTGCTGGGGTCTGAAGGGAGCAGATGATCAGATCCCTGAGGATTGCCCAAAAGCCCTGTTGGGACCGCTGCTTGCCGAGTTGGTGGAGGAGCTTGGGAAGGTGGCCCAGGGATTCCAGGGTGGGGGTCCAAGAGACCTCCCAGAGACAGGGTAGCCCAGGAGGGGAAAGAAGGGACTCTGTCCACTGGCCAGGGTTTCTCTTCCATGTCGGGGCGAGGATGCTGAGGAATCGGAGAATTCTGAATTGAGTCTAGCTTTCGGGGCTATTATAGAGTCACATTAAAGGCAGAGAATGATGTGGTTGTTTGCCAGCTTGATTAGTATAGTAAAGTAATTAGGCTGACCTTCATTTATACTCTTGCCCCAGACCCACAACCACAGGGTGGACCTGGGTTTAGTTGCATGTTTTTCCAAGGCAGGCTAAACACTGCTTGGTTTTGCAGTACTTAGATTTATGTCAATACATGAAGTTCAGAGTCTGGGATATACCAAAAGCTTGGCTCTTTGTATAAGAAAGTGTGTGTAAGTCAAGCTATACTGTATGGAATAATAAAAGTAGGAACTTGATTTAAAACGCTTGTATTTTCACCCTGACGAGAGGAGGAATGCTTGTAGCTAAATCATTTGTCCTGAAAGCACATTTCATCTGGTGGCTGGAGAGCCTTCTCATCCCCAAGGCTCTTGTCCACCCTCAAACCATTGCCAGACCTCCTGGGAGGACCTGTGTTTTCATCATGTGCAACTGAGACTAGTATACTGTCTCAGTGACAACTTCCCCATTAAAAATAGTTTCTAGGAGGCTGGGGATTTAGCTCAGCTACATGAACACCTGCCTTGCAAGCAGGTGGTCGTGAGTTCGATCCCCGGTACTGATAAAAAAAAAATGTTAAAATAGTTTCCAAACTTCATGGAAATGTCCAGAAGCCCAAACGTGGCGTGGTTAAATCCTCTGGTTTTGTTTCCTCCTTAAGGGAAAGTAGCACAGTCCATTTCTGTCCAAGACAAAGGACAAGGTAACGACAGAGAAGATGACAGAATCGGGGAAGAGTGTCCATTGATTTTAAGTCACTCTGAGATATAAATTCACTGAGTGCCTGGCATAGGTGGGTTGGATCATGCAGTGCTCTAATGTCTCAGATGAGAACTCCACTGTGCAAATTTGGGATCCTGCGTGGGGCAAGGAATGGCCTGGAAAGCTATCAACTCTTTGACAATGAATCATGTCTTTGTAATTGGATGAGAATATTTCTGAGGCGCATTCAGTGGAGCATATCCTGTTTGTGTTTAATAAAAGTACAAAGCAGTGTCCAGGGGAGAAAGGTAGAAGCTGTTCTCTGGATATGGCCCAAAATTACAGGATATCGGCAAGGTGCCAAAGGACTGGGCTGAGTTTAGTAGAAGAAATTTCTTATTTGGACGAAAAGGAGTTTCTGATAAGAATGTTGGTAGATAGTATTCAGTATAAGAACGTGGGCAGTGGCGATAGATGGGATGTATGTGGTCTTTTCTTGATTTTTGATTAAATGCAGCGTGGTGAAGTGCTGCTTGCTAATTGGGCTGAGTGTCTTTGGTAACTCCGAGGGCTCTGGGACTCTGGAAGGAAGAGGGGGTTGTAACTTATGCTAGTTGTATTCATTTGCTAGGGCTGCCACAATCAGATGCCACACACAGGAAGGTTAGAGCATCAGACAATAATTGTTTCACAGTCTGGAGGTTAGAGCTCTAAGGTCAAGGTGTTAGGAAGTTTGGCTTTTCCTGAGGCCTCCTGCCTGGGAGAAAGCTGCCCCACTGCAGTGTTGCATGGCCTTTTTGCAATGTGAATATGCCCCTAGAATCACTGCCTTTTCTTTCAAAGACTTCAATCCTATTGGGTCAAACTCTTGCCCACCAAGGGCCTCATTTTATCTTAATGTGTTCAAGAAGATGTTACCCCTAAATGCAGTTACATTCTGAAGTGCTGGTGTTTGGGACCTTGACAGATTTTGGCATGAAGACATGAGTAAGTCTATAAAACTGTAATCTAGGGGTTAGAATGCAGATTCCCAGGCCAGATGGCGCGGGTTCAAATCCTGGCTCTTTCTTGGCTGTGGACTGCTCTGGGCTTTGAGTTTTCAGTAAGTATCAATTATTCTTTGTTTTTGAGTAGTTCCAGGCAGCGATGACTTGTCTTCTACTTTAGTTAACCTGTTGTATTTCGCATTGTAAATAAATTTTCTTGATACTACAGTGCTTTAGCAGAATATTTTGCTCTGAATTTGTTTTCAGGTTTCCTGGGCCTTAAAGTTATTTTAAAGTCTCCTTTCCTATATATACCAAAGAGTTGAAAGTTTGGGTCCCCAAGAGTTTTATTGGATTAAATACCAAAATGATCCCATTTTAGAACTACCTTAGGCTCCCGGTCATGAAGTCTACTAGAGAAAATGGTGGCGCTGTTGTGGGTTTACTGGTAGTAGATACAGTGACAGAATTTTCTGGCCCTAAAAGAGAAGGGGAGGTGTGAACTGGTAAATATGCCAGTGTTCCTTTATTTTAGCTTTGTTCAGCTTCAACAGACTTCCAAGCCTGGTGAGAACAGTGTCCAGTTTGGGGAATCATTGCCACCCCTGTGTTGAGATTAGTAGCTGACAGGCAGCTTCGATGAGGAGGGTGGTCCTGCGGGCTTAACAGAGACAAGGAGGCGGTACGGGCAGAGTGCCCATGGAGGCCTCTGAAGGAGGGATGTCCACACTGGGTCTCAAACATGGAGGGCATAGAGTGGTGAGGATGGTCTACCAGCAGGGGCCTGGACTATTCCCATTGGAGGGAGAGATGAGTCTGCAGAACCAGAGAAATCTCTGAGGGCAGTCAGGGATGCTCTTGGGATCTGGGGTAATATGAAGGCCCTTGGGAGCAGGGCCACAGGGAATTTTTGTGCTTTATCTCAGTAATTTATGTGAGTACTGTGTCCATTATAAACATAGATGTTAATATGGAATGCTTTGTTAATGCTGTTTTGTTTGCCAGAGTCGGCTTCAGAGGGAGTTGTGTGTGTGTGGCTTTGTCTGTGCTTATGTCCATCCAGGACTGGATAAACCAGGCCTCTTAGGAGGCAACGACAAATGCCCCTCGTCCTGACTATAGAATCTCTGGAAATAATGAGCTTTCACCTTTTGCACCTCTTTGTATAAACCCTACTGAAGTATTTTACGTACAATAAGAGTCACCGATGATAAGTGTACAAATGAATGTGTGTGGGCAATTGTGAGCAGTTGTGTCAGTGTTGCTCTAGAGCATCTCTGCCCCCAGGAGTTCCCTGTGTTCCTTTGCAGTCATTCTCCTCCCCCAGACTTGTATTTTTAACTTTTGACTTGGAAACATTTTCACATTTATTTAAAAAAGCAAGAATATCATACAAACTACACGTATTTTCCTGTATTTCTTTCTCAGTTATAATTTTCATTAACTTCAATAACTGAAATATTTGAGGGCAAGTTATGTGCATTGTGGCCTCCCCTCCTGTCATTTCAGGGAGCTTTTCCTGAAAATCAGGGGCAGTACTTTACTTACACTAGAACGGCCATTACACTTCAGTAAGGGTAACTCAATACAACGCTTGTGTCCAATCTACTATTCCTGTCCCGGTTTCGTATAGTTGGCCTAAGATAGTCCTTAGTGGCATCTCCTGACTTCCAGTACAGGTTCGGGGATTGCACTTGGTCCTTGTGTTCTTTGAGTTTCTTTAATCTGGAGCATGTCTATGGGCTGTCATTGTTTATGTGACACTGAAGTTTTGAAGACTATAGTCCCCTTTGCTTTCTTAAAACAGAACTCCCCTCACCTGGGATTTGTGTGATTTTCTTATGCTGAGAGTTTCAAGCTGTGCATTCTTGGCTGGAACATGGAGTAGGTGATGCTCACTTTGGGGGTTGGGGGTCACATCTGAAGGAACCCTGTATTTACCTTCTCATTGCCTGTGCTGTTAAATTTTAGTTTAGGTGTTGATTGATCTATCCATTGTGCCATACTCTCCTGAGAGGCACTTTTTGAGTAGATACAGTTCAGACTCTCAGTAAGTCTCTCCACCTTCCTCACCACTGTCCTGGGTGTTCAGAGTCGTGTTCTACCTCGGAGCTACTGCTCAGCACTGCTGGATTTTGTATTCATGGATTATTGTTGCATGATCCTATCTGTGACAGGATGGCTACACAATGCTCTTTGTCCCGCTCCAGGACTCCATGTTTACTAGCTGGTAGTTGATGTTCCATTGTGGGTTTCCCTTTGCCTCTATTTGTGTATTCCTGTGCAGACTCTCCTGATGCTCACATGGACCCAGGACCAGAGAGATGAGGTCCCCTTCCCACTGGCTACAGTGTCATTGTGACATATCCCTCTTTTTTTCTTTCTTTTAGCACTTGCTAATGTTCTGGTGTAACCAGGTGCCCCTACACTTCTTGCCTTCCTTTACCTGGGTGAGCAGTCATATTTCCCTGTGAGGTCCTACTTCTTTACCTCGGTGTGGTCCTGCTTGCTTTAGTGCAGAACTGTACCTTTTCCTTAAAGAAAGGTAAGTGTTTGAAACAAATACAGCAAGTCTCCTAATTCAAATCCCTCATTAGTATCTAAGTACCCAAAGGGCCAAGTTTTTAAAGCATGCTGTTAGAGCACAAAATTTTTGAGGCTTTACTTAGTTAAACTGTGAGCAGATGTAAAATTGGGAAATCTGAGAGAGGAGTTTGGCATAAAGCAATGTAACAAAAAGTTTTAATCCTTAAGTTATTAGTTTTATTTTTTCAAAAAATTTTTTTCTAGAAAGATGCTTTTCTCGTCTGTGATAGAATTTTCGGCGCTGAAGGGAACCATCTGATAGGATTTTGGTGCAACTGAAAAGATAAGAAGTATAAAATAAAAGTGACCTTTATTTTTAAGAACGTGGGGAGAGACCCCCTGACCCTCTGGGGTCTGGCGTTCTCTCCGGGGTTTGGCATTCTCTCCACCAGACATTCTCTCCCCTTGGTGTGGGGGCGTACATGTAGCTTAGGTTTGGGGTGGTGCCTAAGGGGCATTAGTGATGCACAGGTGGCCCATTGGTATTCATTTCCTGCCACAGGTGAATTGCCTAGGGGCAGGGAAGGTGACCTCAAGATATAGCCTCTTGGTTCTGCCTCTCAGCTTCACCGGCTACAGTGTCCCATCTGGGGCAAAAAACTTTCATTCCTTTGAGACCTTACCCCAGGGCTACTGGACTGTCCTAGCCACCAGAGAGTGGGTAAGCCACCCTAACCTCTAGCCCTCACAGGAAATGCCAACACTGCCAGATTCATCACTGACAGATCTGCTTAGACTTACTGCTGAAGACTGACGGGGCTCAGGGCTCAGAGTCCTTCTCAGAGTCCCAAGTCCCACTAGAAGTCCCAGGTAAGACATTCTCTATACTTGTGAACATAGAGGCCGTGTATAGGGTTCTTCCTGAGCTTTCAGGCCACTATGTTAAGTCCTCAGTCTCTAAAGGGCGTATTGATGGCCAACCTATACGGCCTGTACAAGACAGGGTCTATCTCGTGCAGATTCCAGACTGCTTCTTTCCAGTCCACCCAGTGGTAACAAATCTTCCCTCCACCACTCACTTTACAGTCCTAAATCTTAAAAATGCTTTTTATTCCCTTGTGTGTATGCAGACTGACACAGACTCTGAGGCTCAACAGCTTACACCTCTTATTGCTAGTAAACCTCTCCTCAGGGATGCACAGCACCCCCTTCCTTTCTTATTTGTCAGTTTCTCAGACACAACCCTGGTCAAGACTGACAGATAAATTTTATCTTCTCACCTTTGTACTTTTTCAGGATATATAAAAGCCTTTCCCACAACCAGGGAGACTGCTAAAATAGTTACTAAAGTCCTGTTACAGCAATCATCCCAAGGACTACAACCAAATTAGAGCGACCCATACCTGGTCTTCTTGGCCACCTCAACAGCGGTCAAAGTTGCTAGTCTGCCATCCTGGTTTCACATCACTCAGGCTAAGTGGTGCCCTTCCAGCCCTAAATCTAACCATCCTTTTGCTTACTCATCTCCACCTCACCAAGGACTCACAGCCACAACTCTCAGGCTGTCATGTTTTGTTATCCAATTTGGTTCCTAATTTCTTATCCTTTTTACAGCAGGACTCTTAACAGTATTTCCTAAAGACTTCCACATCATGCATACCAGAGACAAGTCTTACCTACCTACCCTCTTAACTTTTGCCCTTTCAAATGGGGGAATAATCACCTCTCATAACTTCACTCCTCCTAACCCCACACTATTTTTCAGAATTCTACCTTACCGTGGCAATGATTCTACCTCAACATGGTCCTGAGAAAATGACATATCTAAATTAAAGGCACCTTTCCTTCTACCTCACCTGGGTCCTTAAATGTGATTGATAGTGGCCTGCCTCTTCAGAACACCTTATCTCTTTGTTTTTCCAATCTAACATACGGGCATTCACCAGTGATAAAGTTGTCCTGGTTAAAACACCTGGCACCAACTTCTACATGGGCATCAACCATCATCCCGTCAACACTCCTAAACCCCAGTATAGCACCCCCTTTCAGCAGGAATCATTAAAAAAAAGAAATCTTGGCCCTTTTCCTAAAAATCAAAAGATGGGAATGAAAGGTTTTTGCCCCAGAAGGGACACGGTAGCCAGTGAACCTGAGAGGCGGAATCAAGAGGCTGTATCTTGAGGTCATTTTTCCCGTCCCTAGGCAATTCACCTGTGGCAGGAAATAAATACCAATGGGCTACCTGTGCATCACTAGGCATCACCCCAAACCTAAGCTACATGTATATACCCCCACACCACGTGTCTGGCAGAGAATGCCAGACCCTGGAGAGAATGCCAGGCCTGGAGGGTCAGGGGGTCTCACCCCACGTTCTTAAAATAAAGGTCTCTATCTTCTGTTTTTCTTCTTGCATGACCTGTTGTGGCTTGCGGTGGTCCTCCTGAGCCTCATGTGGTCATAGGCAGGGGGCTTTGAAAGTGGCTGGATTAGGTTATGTGAATCACGAGAGAAAGATGCTGCGAGAACTCTGTCTGTGGGGTGGCTGGGAGGAGAGCAGGCAGAAGAGAAGTGTTTACAGTGAGTCCTTATAATATAGCTAGCTCCTGAATTACCCAAGGCAGAGGTTGAAAGCCAAACAAAGAGGAGACTGTACTGGGAGGATTCTCAGCCATCGAAAGAGACAGAGACAGAGACGAAGATCTAAACAGAGCTGGGAAGAAGCAAGCGCCTGCCTTGCAGTTGGGGGGGACTCCTCCTCCAGGGTGCCTCGCTCACTGTGCCCAACCCACTCCCCCTGAGCAGCCAGGCCCTCTGGCTTGATCGCTACACCTCTGTGGTGCTGAGGCCTGATGTGGATCACGGCAAGGGGTGTGATAGAACTGTAGGGGGAGGAGGAGGAGGACTAGCAGCGGCTGAAAAGATAAGAAGTATGAAATATAAATAACCTTTATTTTGGGAATGTGGGGAGAGAACGAACACCCCTGACCCCCTGGGGCGTGGCATCTCCACCCCGAGGCAGGCGATCTCTCTGTGGAACACGTGGAGTGAGGCACATAAGTAGCCTCAGCTTGGGGTGGAACCCAAGGGGGCATTAGGGATGCACAGGTAGCCCATTGGTCTTAGTTTGGCGCAGGAGGCAATTCCTAAGGGTGGGGGAGATAGGAGCTTCCTGGTTTTACCGGCTACAGTATCCGGCCTGGGCCAGCAACCCTTTCAGGGTGCATCCCTGGGTCCCTGGCTTCTGGCCAGGGGACATTTGTCTCAGATGCAGCTGTTACCTAACTGCAGTGGAGCAGAGGTGGGGTCCCTGTGAGCTCAGCAGCTGGGGCTGCCAGCACCATCAGAGGAAGGAAAAGCACGGGGAATCTCAGGCGCTGCTGCAGGCCTAGGGAACCACAGGGGCCTCTGCGGGAGCCTTGGTTTTCATTATGAGCTGCTGGCTGGCTGCTGCTGTGCAAATTAACCAGAGCCAGCCAGGGCTGTGTTGCAGATCATTTACACAGGAGAGTGAGTGATTGGGAGCGAAGCAGAAAGTGCAGCATTGGTGGGAGCTGGGAGAGCAGCCTGGGTAAAAAGGCAGGATCCCAGGCCGGCTCCACGGGAAACACTGGCGTCCAAACAGGACAGAGCTGGGGATACCACACCCTGATCCGGGAACTCGGAAGGTGTTCTGAAGTGCCAGCCCTGCCAGGCTTAAAACTCTGGCCTCGTCTACTGCTGAGCTGTTTGCAACCTTGAGTGTATATTCGTTTTCCCATCTCTTAAATGGGAGTAAATGGAACAGCAATGTATTTGGTGGGTACCATTATGAGAATTGAATAAAATGAGTCATTGTTTTTAAAGTGTTAATAGTGCCCGGCACATGCTCAATGCTACTTATTTTCAGAGCTAGATGAGTAAAATTCTGCTGGTGATAGGCTTCTGCCCTAGGAAACGGACAGAGCTGCCTTTTATCTTGCTTAGAAGCTTCTCTCAAAAGATGGGTGGTCAGACGCTGGGCGGCTCTGATGACAAAGGTCTATACAAAGATTTGAGGCTTTCAGAAAGGAAAAAGAAAGTATAATTTTTAAAAACTGAGTTGGTAAATGTAAGCTGAAAGAAAGATCTGAATGAAAGCATGAAGAGGAATCAGCTGTCTTTAAATATTAAGGTATGTTGATTAGTACCGCAGCTAATTCCTTGTTTTGCCATATGCTTATTTTACAGGAGCCTGAGCATTTCCTGTTACTCTAGGAAGCTCCCATTACCTGTCCTCCAGTGCTGCCTCTCACTCTGAAACGGCTCCCTGAATCTCATAGCTGCTTTCCTGTTTCAGAGCTGTGTCTGTCCTCTTGAATTACTGCATGAGTCTTCTGATTTCTTCCGGTCCTTCTTTGGTCCGTTTTCAACTTGGACCACATCATTACCTTGCTTAAGGTCAATGCTGTGGACTAACGCTCAGGATAAATCGCAGATGTCTTCCTGCCACTCAGAGCGAGAGTAACACACCGTTCCTTCCTCCCCGAGTTACTGGACTGAAGCTGCATCTGCCTGCTTTCTGCATCTTGAACTCCAGAGCCTTCATTTTGCTTTGATTTGCTTTTTCCTCTGCCTGGAGCATTGTTTCCTGTTCCCTACTGCTGCTGCAAGTAGACAGTTGTTGCTTCTTTTAGTGCCACATCTTGGATCAGAAGCAACAACTCCCCGAGTTACTGGACTGAAGCCTCTGGTGGTTCACGCTACCTTTGCATTATTTATTCCTCATTGGCTTGATTCTATTACTCAGCTATTTTCTCTTTTTGGAATTCTTATTCATTGATTGGTTGGTTTGTCCCTGCCCACACCATGCTAAGCTCCATAAGACTGTGTCTTATTATTCCTAAGTCCTGCTCCCTGACCCAAAATTCTGTCTGGCACAATATTTACCAAATGGTACAGAATAAGTACCAACAATGCAGAATGTTTGACCAATCAGAAATGATATCAGCCATTTGACTCTAAAATATAAAAGCTTCTAATGAGTACATGTTGATATACCTGTTTTACAAATGGAAAAAACAATTCTTGTGATTGTTCAGTGTCCTATTGCTGCTTACTAATAAAACAAGGTCAGGCATTTAATATATTATTTTCCTGAATAAACCTTTTGCACACTAAACAGGTGCAGTAACAAAGGCTAAGTTTTTCTAAAATATGAATGTGAACAAGCAGCCCTGCCTGTGTGACTTGCCCCCACTCGACTTCCTAGTGTTAACTGTAAAATGATTTTAACAGTAGAATTCACGAGTTTGAACATACTTTTTAGCTTAAGAAACTTGTTTATGGGGATTGCTGGTGTGGAAATTCATTCTGTATGTGGTTTGAATTTTGCAAAGTTTGTATTTTCTTAGCAATTTTGCGAGAGAGACCGAGGTGACATCTACTTAGTTGCTGGCGGCTGCAGGTTTTAGGAATATGGAGGAGCAGGTCTCTGTCACCCTCTACCCTTCCAGGGTTCTGCGTAGGTTGAAAGGGTCCATTATAAAGAGGATCATGGGGGCTGGGGATTTAGCTCAGCGGTATAAGCGCCTGCCTTGCAAGCAGGCAGTCGAGAGTTTGATCCCTGGTACCGATAAAAACGATAAAGACAAGAAAAAAAAAGGATCATGGTGGAGGAGACTCTACTCTTGGGATGGTGGGACAGAAAAGGGGATGTAAATACAAGGACAGCGAGGTTAGACTGGAAGGTGAGAATTAAAGGCAGAAGAAATTTGATTGGTTGATAAGCACATTACCCTTCATGGGGACTGTTTTGTTTCTGAAGATGTCATTACTCTAGGGGTCTCTAAACCCCAGCAGTAAGTATGTTTCCTGCTGATTCCCACCTCCACAACAGTGTCCTGTCCTAACCTTCATGGGAAGGTCAGCAGCACAAAGCCTTTGATGGATCCCTTCTCAGAGAGCCAGGACTTGATACACACCAGAAATACATCACAGCATTACTTGAAGGTGGTGGCATGTCCTGAGGAACAGTTCGTTTCCTTATTATGCAAACATTATGATGTGTGGTTACATAAAGCTGCATGGCATAGCCTGCTGCATGCCTAGGTAATACATACCTGGGCCTCATGCATGCACAGCAAGGTACTGCCCTGAATATCATAGCACCAACAGTACTGTAATCATAAGTATGGGTTGCTGGGTGTGGTGGCATATGCCTGTAATTTCAGTTTTCTGGGAGGCCAAGGCAGGAGGATCACAAGTTTAAATCCACCCTGCATAACTTAGCAACTTAGCAAGACCATGTTTCAAAATATAATAAAAGGGCTTAGGATGTATCTCAGTACAAAGACCGTGGGTTCAATCCCCTGTGCTGCTACCAAAACAAAAGCAAAACAAAGTGTGTATTTAAACATATCTCAACATAGAAATGTACAGGCAAAATACTAAGTGAATAGCCACTGTAATCTTACAGTACCACCATCATGCATGTAGTCTGTTCTTGACTAAATCATTGTATATACAGAGATCAAGAGGAACAGTGTGTTTAAACTCTGGAGGCCTCAATTCATTTTCTGTGTGTGAATGGAGGCTGAGACCTGTTACAGGACCCCAGACGAAGACATTCTCCTTAAACCCAGGGTCTTCCCTGTAAAGTGAAATGTTTGGATCAGCTAACTTGTCTGTCTGTTCAGATCTTTCAGTGGATGTTATGCCAGTGCTTCCCAAAGAGCCCAGAACCAGCAGCATCAGCGTTGGTGCTTCCAGGGACCTTGCTGAAAATGCCAAGCTGCAGCTCCACCATGGCTCCGGATTGGAGTGAAACCATTCATCTGCATAATGCAGAGCCCTCCAGGAGCTGCCTGTGTCTGCCCAAGTTGGAGACTCTTCTTTCTAGTGGTGGCCTGGAGCTCGACAGGCCACCCCAGGCTCCACAGCCCAGCTCTCCACAGACACCCCCCAGGCACTGGGGACAGATTTGTCATGGGGAAACTATTTCTTGACATCGAACAGTTTCTCACCTTGGCGAAGGGACTTCAGAGTCTGCGTGAGGTAGTTTGTAGTGTTCTTGTAGCATTTGTGCCACATGCCAGGCTGGTGGATAAAGAGGAACAGCAAGTACACATGTGTGTGTGTTACCATGGCAACCGTCATAAAGAAATGCACCAGGCTTTCACGTTTGCCTGTTAATATATTCTAGTATTTCAAGCTTCTCACTAGTATCAGTTTACAAATAGCATGTTCCCAGAAGGGAAATTTCTAGCTTTAATTCTACTGCAGCAGGCATTGAGAGGAGGTAGAAAATAAAGACAATTGAAATAGTTTGGTGTAGATAAGCACGTTTTGCAAATGGAAGAACTTTCAACTGGACCGGAAGTTGATTACTAATGTATTTTCCATTGAAGCAATTTTTAAAAATAATAGACACATGACACTGCTTGAGAACCTAATAGAGGCTTGACAAGCAAGTCCTTGTTTTCTGGAAGAAACCCCTCATGCTACAATCAATTTATTTTATTTATTTTTTGGTATCGGGGATCAAGCTCAGGACCTCGTGCTTGTCAGGGAAGCGCTTGTGCCGCTGAGCTAAATCCCCTGTCCCAATCAATTTACAGTAACAATATTTTTATGTCAATTTAACAAGGGTTTTAAATTTTCTACATAGTTATTAGCATTCTAGATTTAAAGACTAGATTAAAACTTGTCAAATTCCCCAGAAAGTAATTTTTTTCCTTGGCACTGAAACTACAAAATCTCTTTCCTAGATTCCCAGGGTGCCTACACACAGGGTTCCCATGTGTGCCTACAATGAATCTTTTTCAACATGATATAAAAGATAATTTAGGTAAAATTTGCCCTTAACCAAATCAGTTAAATGTATTTTTCTTGAAGTTTAGGAAGAGGTAAGATTGATTTTGCTTGAAAGTCATCACTGCACTGATGATCAGCTGTCAGTTATTACAGTGGTTGATACATTATGTCAACTTGAGAAGTTTAGAAGTTTAACTGAGTATCTCAGTAGTTCTAAATCCTTCCACATAGAGGACTTGCCCCCAGAGGGCTGTTTAGACTCCAAGATGTAAAGGTTGATTCATTGTGTCACAATGGGAAGGTTAGAAGTTTAAGTGGCTCAGCAGGGGGGCAGGGTCCCTGGTTTGTAAATGTCCTGAGCCTTTGCAAAAGGAGGGCATGGATAGGACAGGAGTGCTACACCCCTAACCTGCTCACAATGTAAGGGAGGTAAAGAGGCTTGTTCCCCCCACTTTCTCTCTTGTAGATTTTTGTCTTCCACTGCTGTGAGCTGCTGCCCCTCTACCACACCACCCTGCCTTGGAGCCAGCTGATTATGGGCTGAAACCTCTGCAAACTGAGCTCAATAAACCCTACCTTCCTTAATTTTAGTCGTTGGGTATTCTGTCCCAGCAACGAGAGAAAATGTAATTAATATAGTTATCTTTGAATGGATTAACTGTGCCCACAGGTCTCTGGACTCTGCCACGTATTAGACCTTCCTTTTTTAGTATCTTTTCCATAAGACTTTTTGTTTTTTGTTGCTTAGCTACTGTGTAATTGGAAAACATAATTTAATTTTATTACTAACCAAAAGCCAATAAATGAGGGTGATAAATCATTTACAGAATCATTATCTACTCTACATAGGATGTAAGTCGTGATAGTCTCAGTCCATGCCACTCAAAATGCAGGCTTGGGGCTGGGTATGCTGGTGTGTGTCTGTAATCCCAGCATTTGGGAGGCTGAGGTAGACAAATTTGAACTTTTTCCTTCCTTAATTCTAGGCACTGGGTATTTTGTCTCAGCAATGAGAGAAAAGTAACTGACACAGTGTGAAAAAGAAAGAAAACTTCAATTTAAACTTAAAAGCAGGTGTGGACCCATGTGGTTTGGCACACAGATCAGCACCGAAATTCAGGCAAGAAATTAGAAACTCTTTGCAGCAGTTTAATACTACTGGCACACTGAAGAGTATTTATGTTATTTTTCATAAAGGTATCAGTCTTTACCTGAAAGAAAAATGCAACAGTCCCTTAACGTGGGGAGGGGAGAGGCTCAGTGGGGTGAGGAGACTTGGGTTTAGCTGGGTTTAGGTGGCCGAGAGCTGGGGGCAGAAGAGCAAAGACTAGAAATTCGGTCTCCTGGTTGCCGCCCTGATCTTTCCTGTCCGTTCAGTCTGCACATTGCATTTCTCAGTGGCGAAACAGACTTGATTAATCCGACATGCTATTGGTTTCAAAGCAGCTTTTCTTAACCCCAAAAATGCTAGTTTATATGAAGATAAGTCTTGAAATCAAGGCTATAAGGTGATGTACTTCCCCCCCCCTTATCACACAATACAAATTAAAATAAAGCTGCCGTGGTTATCAATATAGTTTGATTTCATGAAATCAATGTCACCCTGAAATCAGATTAGAAGAGAAACCTATGTGTAGTGCCACTTCGGGTGGGCTTGTCACATGAAACCTTGTGATTTAATGGGCTGTCGCATGTGTCAAGAACTTAAAATAGTAGCTGCATGTATAACAGTTCCACACATGCTGTCATTGTCTGAATAATTGTGGGTGGCACCTGGTGACCTAGGGGAAGCTCCACACAAGCCCTTGAACCTCACGAGGACTCTGCTGAGTGCTAACCCTACGGTGTTGGTAAGCACAGCTCAGCTCTCGTGCTGTTGAAGTGGGTGCACCCCTGTGTTTCCATAAAAGTTTTCTCATTAAACTGGAGCAAAAAAAAGTGTCTGTAATTCGACCTATGCTTTAAAAAATTTGCTAATTGTTCTTCTCTGTTGCTTTATTCTGAAATAATTTGCTTCAAACCAGAATCAAGAGCTTTTCTTGACTTTTTTTCTATTACACGTAACACTAGTATGGAACAGTAATGTTTATCCAACCATTACCAGTACTTTAAATGAATGGAGTCACTTCTGTCCTTATTTGAGGTGCAGTCAGTGTCATCAGCAATCCACAGGTGAAGAAATGAGGCTCCAAGGCAAGCTTCTCTGGGAACCCGGGGTCTGGACCCAGGCAGTGTGAACTGAGGACCCTCCCTGGTCTTACTGTGGTCTTGCTTCGTTCTCCCAGAGCCACACATCCTACCAGGGTCTCGCCCAAGGAGCAGATCTCCTCTGAGCCCCTGGCTAGCCATTGATTCTGCCTTTGATCTCTCCCCATGTCTTGTCTTCCTCACCAGATTCTAAACTTCAGTAAAAGTGCTAGCTGTACTATAATCAGTGAACCCGTCGTATTTTGCACAGTGCTGGGTACTCCATAAACATTTGCAAGATGGAAGAATATGTTGTCACTTAACATCCACATCACTCAGAAAGGAAATTTTGATTTCCAAAGGTAGAAAAAGCTTGATCAAGGATATTTTAAATTTAGTAAACATACATTTATGACCAGTTCACTCTTTGTCTTTTTTAAAATTCTGCTTCACTACATGGAACTTGGGCTTGTGTTCTGAAGCCAAAGATTTATTATCTGCATTTCATTTGTTTTCTAGGCTTTCAGATTTTCTTTGTGAACACAAATGGAGACTCCAACATTTTCTCCCCCTCAATTGTTTTTATATTAAAATCAGTGTATTTGTGTGTGGGGGGGAGCCTGGAAGTCTGCTGAAGTCTATTATTTCTTCCTTTGTATGAGAAGTCTTACTTGGGCATGTGGACACCCTGCAAAGGACTAAAATCCTCACCTTTTATTGCTGCTAGATGCACCTAGGTGACCAGGTGACCGTCCATGGACTATACACGGAAGGAGCACTGGCTATTTCTAAATTAAGTCCTTAAAAGAAAGGATACGTGGATATTTTCTCTCCTCAAGGACAGGAGGAGCCCCAGAAGCCATCTGTACTGTGAAATGAAAAGGGGGTGGCTTCATTTTAATATTTTTAATTTTTATGTTACCATTTAATGAATAAGCTTATTGGTACAATTTAGGTATACATAGTGATCACATTATAGGAAATTTATAGCTATATGATACAGTTTGATTTCTTTTTCCTTATTCCCATCTCCTCCTCTTCCCTTCCCTTCCCTTTCACAAAGCTCAGTTTTCATTTTATCCTTTTCTTATTTGTTTCTTGCCCTTTCTTTGTTTCTCCCTAATTCTCTTTTCCCTTTGAACAGTTTCTTCCTATTTCATAGTATCTATTATACATTTTGGCCCTTATTTACATTTTCAGTTTCTCACACCAGAGATAATATATTTATATGTGTCCACTTTATTTCACTTATGATTATCATCTTAAGGTCCATCTGTTTAGCTATAAATGTCTCAATTTTATCTTTACAACTGAGTAATACTCCATCGTATTAAAAAACCCACATCTTTTCTTATCTGTTCCTTGGTTGATGGGCATTTTGGTTGTTTCCAAGGTTTAGCTGTTACAAACTGTGCCCCTATAAACATGGGTGTGCATGTATCTGTGATATGATGCTTTTAATTCTTCCAGAAAAAGACCCAGAAGGGGAATAGCTGGGTAGGTCAAACAAGACCTCCAATCCTAGATTTTTGAGAAATCTCCACACTTATTTCCAGGTGGTTGCACCAGTCTACACTCCCAGCAACAGTAGAGAAGGGTTCCTTTTCTTCACAGCCCTGCCAGGATTTGTTATTAGTTGTTTTCTTGATAATAGCCATTCTCTCTGGAGATGGAATCTCAGCATTGTTTTAATTTGCATTTCTTGAACGACCAATGATGATGAACATTTTTTCATATATTTATTTGACATTTGTACTTCTCCTGAGAATTGTTTGTTCATCTCAAATGCCCATATTAGGACTGCGTCTTTGAATTTGGAGTTCTTTGTATGTCTAGATATTAGTCCTCTGTCTGAAGAACAACCGGCAGAAAAATGTCCCCCATTGTGGGTGTCTTCACTCTGTTGGTGCTTTGTTTTTTGTGCAAAACTTTTTAGTAAGATGAGATCCCAGTTGTCTTTGCAACAATTCCTGTGTGATTGGGGTTTAGTTCATAATGTCTTTGTTCCCACCTATGTCTTCACCAGTCCTACCAATAGGACTGCTGGGTAATAACCCAGCAGATTTAATGTTTTAATATTTAGATCTTTGACCCACTTTGATTTTAGTTTAGAGCATGGTGATAGACATGTGTCTAATTTTAGACTTTAGCATGTGCGAAGCCAGTTTTTGTAGCACCATCTATTAAAGAGGCTGTCTTTCTTCTAGTGAATGTGATTGGCCCCTTTGTTAAAAATCAGGTGCCTGAGTGCACTTGGAGTAGTTTCCACATCTTCTAATCTGTTCCATTGGCCTGTTTTTGGTTTTTGTCAGTACCATGTTGTTTTTATCACAGTAGCTCTGTAGCATAATTTCACATGGGGTATTATGATGCCCCCAGCCTTGCCTTTGTCGCGCAGAATCGCTTTTGCTATTTTGGTCTTTTTGGTGGAAATGGGATGTTTGATGCAAAAGCAGCATGATATAAAATGCCTGCATTTATGAAATACTATTCATTTATGAAGAACAAAGTCATGTCATTTGCAGGAAAATGGATGGAATTGAACACCATCATGTTAGGCAAAATAAGCCAACCTCACAAAGTTAAATATGACATGATATTTTTCATGTGAACAATCTAAAATGCACGAATGAATGAATGAATGGAGAGATGGCAAGAAACTAGAAGGCAGACTTTGAGAGGTAAAGAACAGGGAGGAGGAAAAAAGGGAGACACATAAAGGGGTCAGAATGGGTTGTAGCATGAAACAATGTACTGAAACGAATGTCATAATTCTGTCTTACTGGTATCCACCAATAAAAAGTAAAGGCCTGCATTTCTGGTACTTGAAGTAGCTATGGTAACCCTCAACAATGAACGACTGGTCCCTTTTATAACAGCAGCTAGGCTGGCAGCCTAACAAAATACTACTCACCTTAGCTTACTCTCAATACTAAACATTACACCTGGGAGTTCTTTCCAAATTGTGTGCAAGTCTAAGACTGAAGACCTGCGGTGGGAGACAGAGGGAGGGCGACGCATTCACCACCGGTGGCTGCTGCTGCGCTGTGTTGGTGTGACGGAGGTTCACAGGACGCTTGGTGTTTTCCTGCAGTGCAGTTTTCACATATTTGATAGGGGTTCGCTGGGAGCAAAGAAACGCTTGTAGCTGCTTGTTTTAGTCGATATTGAATTTATTAAAGCTGAAAAATATAAAGACTTAGTTTTCTTAAGCCTTCGAGCTCTGTTTAAGTTTTCTTGAATTTAGTAAGTTTTGTGAAACATAGAAACATGCATTTCACTTAATTCATTATTTTTAAATTTGTTACTAAGTTAAATACTATTACTTTAGTAAATTTTAAAATTGCCTTTAAACATTTAGAAGTGTAGCTACACATTGTAAATACCCAGGTATCCTC